CTGTTATGAGCACGAGTTGTGCCATTGAGCACATCCTATGTCTGCTGAGTTCCCAAGCATATAAGATGGCCTGTTATGAGCACGAGTTGTGCCATTGAGCACATCCTATGTCTGCTGAGTTCCCAAGCATATAAGATGGCCCTCCTACTATAGAGCCTGAGAATTGCTTCCCGGTTTTCATTGTGTCTAGGATATAGGCATGAGACCTAAACTTCACAACCCAGTATACCTATTCCAGGCTTCCACTCTGAAGCTGATAAAGAAGTAAGGAGATCCCAAACTCTGTTCTTTTGACAATTGGACACAGCTGCATCTGGCGTCCAAAGTCACAGTGTAAGTTCAGGCTGTGGCATATGGTGCCTACTGGTTTTTTCATCAGATCTATTTAGTGTTGTGTGATTTGGGTATTGGTCCTGGCCATGTAACTTCTATGCCTGTGTTTTCTAAATCTTACAATATACCCAATAACCTATCAATTAATTTCCTTTCTGTTTAAGTCATCCAGAGCTTTCTTCCTGTGGCTTGTAACTAAAAGACTATTATAACAGCATTATTTTTAACATTGAAAGTTGAACACAAAAATAGTAAGGGATTGATTGGGGGAAAAATGTCATATCCTTAGTATAACACTGTTCATCCTTTTAAAATCGTGCAGTATTTCTCAGTATAAGTATTTTAATCAGAAAAGAAATTTAAAATAGTAGTTGCTTACAAAATTGTTGGAAGCGATTGTAGACCTCTGGGTTGACTCCAGAACAATATCAAACATATCCACTGGGGGCACTGCTCCCCCTGAGGCCAACACAAGTTGGGAAGGAAATAACTTAATGCCGTTCACAACTGTCTCTCACACCCAGGAAACCACAGAACGGGTACAGATCAGAGATTAGGAAATCAAAGTAGCACAATCCCACTGGTTCTTGACACCCAGAAGCTGGAAAATGGAACCTAGAATGCTGCTGCAGGAAAGCCTCATATGTCCAAATCGTGTTTAATTGCAACCAGAGCTGAGAGCCACAGGAAGATGGCTTCAACTCAGTTCAACCTCCAAATTTTGTATGATAATATTTGTATGGTGGAAAAATCTCTTCAGTATGCATAAATTATGGCTGGAAGGATATGTAAGCTAGTAACCATGGTGATTTCTTTATTTTTTTTTTTTAAGATTTTATTTATTCATTTGACAGACACAGCAAGAGAGGGAACACAAGCAGGGGGAGTGGGAGAGGGAGATGCAGGCTTCCTGCAGAGCAGGGAGCCCGATGCGGGGCTCGATCCCAGGACCCTGGGATCATGACCTGAACCGAAGGCAGATGCTTAACAGCTGAGCCACCCAGGCGCCCCAACCATGGTGATTTCTAAGGTGGTAAATTGGGTGGCTAAGGGACATAAGAGGGAGATGTTTTTTACCATATACCCTTTTTGTGCATGCTGTACTATGGTTGTCATTCATAGTCAAAAAGTTACAAAGGTAAATTGTAATTACATCAAAGCTCGGTAGTTTTTACTGCACTTCATGGGAAAACACCCTCAGGTCTCTGGAGAACCCTTCAAGGCTTTTTGAGAGGAGGGAACAGAGTAGGGCCCTAGGTTCCCCACTTCTGCTTCAGTCAGAGAAACTCTGGTTTTATCAGTTCTCTGGTTTAAGCATCTAAGATTTTGTAAGCTTTTTAATTTTTTTACCTTATTTTTATTTAAGTAATCTCTACACCCAATGTGGGGCTCGAATTCGTGACCCTGAGATCAAGAGTCTCATGCTCCTGTCACTGAGCCAGCCAGACACCCCAAGATTTTGTAACCTTTTAATCTTCTGAGTAAGAAAGCATTCTGCTGCTTTAAAAAAAAAAAAACTGAAGACCATTATTACAGAATATTAAATGTCATGGAGAAATATTCATTATGTATTTGTTAAATAAATGTACATTTATAAGAATAGGGGGAGCAAAGACCAGAAGTACAAATACCAAATTATTTCTTGATAGTTTTCTTTTTTTTTATTATGTTATGTTAATCACCATACATTACATCATTAGTTTTTGATGTAGTGTTCCATGATTCATTGTTTGCGTATAACACCCGGTGCTCCATGCAGTACGTGCCCTCTTTAATACCCATCACCAGGCTAACCCATCCCCCCACCCCCTTCCCCTCTAGAACCCTCAGTTTGTTTCTCAGGGTCCATAGTCTCTCGTGGTTCTTCTCCCCCTCCGATTTCCCCCCCTTCATTTTTCCCTTCCTGCTATCGTCTTCTTTTTTTTTTTTAACATATAGTGTATTATTTGTTTCAGAGGTACAGGTCTGTGATTCAATAGTCTTACACAATTCCTTGATAGTGTTCTACTATTTCTTTGTCCTTGTCTTTTCCAAATTTGTTACAATTATTTTAAAAATTATTTTTATAGGGCAACACCTGGCTGGTGCACTCTCTCTCTCTCTCTCTCTCTCAAATAAAGAAATATTAAAAAAAAAAATAGTTGGGGTGCCTGGGTGGCTCAGTCAGTTAAACGTCTGCCTTCGACTCAGGTCATGATCTCAGGTTCCTGGGATCAACCCCTGAGTCAGGCTCCCTGCTCACTGGGGAGCCTGCTTTTCCCTCTCCTCCCCACTCGTGCGCTATCTCGCTATCTCGGTCACTATCTCTGTCTCTCTCAAATAAATGAATAAAATCTCTTTAAAAATTTTTTTAAAAAGAGGGTACTTGTTTGATGAGCACTAAGTGTTGTGTGTAAGTGATGAATCACTGAATTCTACTCCAGAAACCAATATTGCACTATATGTTAACTAAGTAAAATTTAAATTAAAAAAGACATTATCAGATAGACTATTAAATACATTTCCATTATCTGCTATGTAACTAAGAAATTCGTAAGAGGCAAGTATTAGATGCTAACAAACACCTGCCTTTGGATAAAAAATTATAAGCTTTTATATCTAGCTGATGGGCCTTGTACCTAATATTTGGCTTTTTTTTTTTTTCAGAGTGATTTCCATCCTGTACCTGTTGCTTTTGTACCATTCATTTTATGTATTTTAAATTGTGTAGAGAAAAGCTGCTCAAGTTTTACAAATGGTGTTTCTCTCCTATTAGGTCTCTCTGCAATGCAATCAACGTTTACAACCTTACCTGCAATAACTGCTCAGAAAATTGCACCGATGTTCTGTTTAGTAACAAGATTACCTTCTTAATGGACCTCCTGATACACCAGTTGACGGTATGTAATATTACTGCTTTGAGTTAGAAGCAGTTAAGGTTTGGGAAATATTCCCTGTGGAGAAAACTAAAAGAATTCAGCTTATTTACCCTCCAGATGGAAAAAAGTGAAGATGATGGGGGAGAGTGAATTAGGAACTAGCAAAGAAACCTCTTAATTTGACAATCTCATATTAGATTCTCCTAAATTCCAGTATTTAACAGATAATATACTTGTAACACTTGCTGCCAAGTTCACAGATTTACATGGTTAGACTGGGGGCTTCGGATTCAGTTGGACTCCAAGCCAAACCTCTGAGCCCACAGGAATGAGTGCTATAGAAGGGAAGAAAGCTTGAAAGCCTCAAAATCTCTCTTGCCAACTCAGTTAGAAGGGTAGTTCATAAAGGACTTTTTGATGGCCCTTGATATCTATTTTTTTGAAGCAAGAAACTCTTCTGTCAAAAAGGGACAAACCTGTTATACTTTTGAAATAGAAACAAGCAGCCAATTGTAGCCTTAAATTTTACTTCAGTTCACAGATGTTGAAAGAGATAAGCTCAGTATAATATCCAAAGGTTTAGGTCTATCAACTGCAGCCTCCAGAACACAACCCTGGGGCCAGAAGTTTCCTGGTGAAGTTTCTGAGGCCCTGAGGTATTGGCACAAAATTTCTCTCAAGCTGCAAGTTTACAACACAGGAGATTTATTTTTCAGAACCGATTTACTTTTGCTCAGCACACAGTTCTAATACCTGTTTCTAAACTATATGCCTTTTGCTCTCTTTCCTCCTCCATCTCTCCATCTGGTTAATTTCTCTATATTCTGCAGACCTTAACTGAAACATAATGGCATCTTCATCATGAAACCTTCCCTAACCTGACTCTCCCCAAGTCCAGGTTAGGAATTTTTTTTATGTGCTCCTAGGCATTAAATCATTCATAGAATTGATCACATTGAATTAACTATTTACTTGTCTGTTTCCCCATTAGCCATAAAATCAACAAGGATAGGAGATAACTTATCACCCTCTTCAGGATCCTAACATAGTGCCTGACACTTAGTAGATTTAGTATATCATTGATGAATATATGAGAGAAGAAGTGGATCCCCAACGTCTCAAGCTGAGAATCAGAAAGGGAATGATGAGGCCCTTCCAGGCAGGCATATGGATGATGAGAGGGGTCAACAGAGAGAACAAAGGCACAGACCTAGAACTGTTTACACAGTACAGCAGTGGCTATTTATCATGATGACCCTGAGTCATCACCTGAGGGCTAAATTTGATTTGGTTTTATCTATAAAAGAAGGCATTAAAATATGGGTAAGACATTTTAGCACAAAATTCTACTCAAAATAGTTGAAAGGCAAGGACAAGGAGAAAAGACTTAGCATTTGTTGTATGGCCTTATATTCCAGACATTTTAACATATATTGCCCCATTTAATTTTTTAAAACAAAGTCAGGATTATCCCATTTTACCAACAAGGAAACTTAAGTCCCAGAGAAAGTGGCTTGCCCAAGACTACAGAGATTGAAAGTCACAGAGCTGAGAGTCAAACCTAGGTCTCTCAAACCCAAATTGAGAGACATTCCACACAATAACTAACTGCTACTTTTCAAAAGTGTCAATGTCATGAAAGACAAAGAGTGGAGAACTCTCACAGATTGGAGGAGGTACTGACAAGTAAATGAAATGTGGTGTCCTACACCAGGAAAGGACATTAGTGGGAAAACTGGGAAATTCATATAAGTCTACAAAGTAGTTAATTTTATTCACTCAATGTTAATTTCTTGCTTTCAATAATTACAGTATGGTTTTGTAATTTGTTAACAATAGGGGGTACCAGGCAAAGAGAACTCTACTATTTTTGAAACATATCTCTTAGTTTAAAATTATTTTAAAATAAGATGTGAAAAATTAAAAAAAAAAAACACTGTGTTGCATGCTGCATCATCTGGAAGAATTTATTTTGTGAAACTTATTCTATATTGGTAATGGAAGAAGAGACATTAATATACTTTGAAAAGGGCAGGTAACAAAAAAGATGGCCTTTGAAATGTGAAGGGATGAGTAAGATTTACAGACAGGACCTTCTATCCTAGCTCTTCAGTATTTTCTGTTCAAAACTTACTCTTACTGAGAGATATCATATGAAGTAGTTTATTATTCTCTCACTTAATAATTAAGTGCTTACTGGGGTGCCTGGGTGGCTAAGTCGGTTAAGTGTCTGCCTTTGGCTCAGGTCATAATCCTGGAGTCCCAGGATCAAGCCCTGCATCAGGATCCCTGCTCAGCGGGGAGTCTGCTTCTCCCTCTGCCCTTCCCCGCCCCCCCCCCCCCCCCGCTCATGCACACTCTCTCTCAGTCTCTCTCTCTCTCTCTTGCTCTCTCTCTCACTTCACGTTCTCTCTCTCAAAAAGATAAAATCTTTTAAAAAATACTGTTAAAAAATAATTAAGTGCTTACTGTTTCCACTTCCAGAGAAGCATGGTATATAATCCCCACCATCCGGGAAATCCCATTTTAGGAGTGGGAATGGATATACAGATTGCATGTAGTAAACAGTGTGATGGCGGCCCATACAGACTACGGTGGGAGCACAGAGGAAGGCGTTTGTAGCCTGGGACGTCACAAAGGAGGGACATTTGAGCTAGACCTTAGCTCTTCATAATAGCTATCATTTACTAAGTGCCTACCATGTGCCAGAGCTTGTAAGTAGCTTGATCCTCTCCCTCTACTTTGAAAGCCCGAGTTTCCTTTAAGTAATATTTCCTTGCTTGTGACGTCATGGTTTCTTGACACTCAGAATAGCTTTTAATCTCCCAGCCAATGGATTTCAGCACATTCTGTGTTTATTTTGCTCAGTTCAGAACTTTAATCCTGGGACATTTGTTTGCCAAACACATTTTATTCCTCCTTTCCTTATACGTGGCACTTCCTGGTTTTTACAGTTCCTTTTAGGCTCCTTATTCTCTAGCTGTCAGTTCTAATACTGCTGTGACTCCATTGGTGACACTTGGGAGAAGAGGTTGTGTTTCCTAATTTGGGGAGACAGAGGGTAGAAATGACTAGGGAGGGTGATTTTTATGTTTCTTTTTTTTTTTTTTTTTAAGATTTTATTTATTTATTTGACAGAGAGACAGCAAGAGAGGGAACACAAGCAGGGGGAGTGGGAGAGGGAGAAGCAGGCT